CCGCGCCACTGTCCCAGAAAGAGCTGAGGAGAGTCCCAGATGAGGGCTCACTCAGCAGCCGCGGAGCAGAAGCCAGGGGGAGTTGCAGTGACGCGCCCATGAGCTTCGCCGGCAGCCAGCCGTAACACTAATGTCCTAAACAACCCACCTCAATATTCGCTCATCAGAGGGAGAGGTTAATTTCTCTGAGTCGGTGACTCATATCAGTCTCAAAGTTTTACATTTCTTAAAGCTACATATTGATAGCTAAGTTAAGAGTAGACTGACAGCCTACCAAAACAGCGAAAGACTGGGGCAGAAGCGGGAGTCATGTTGCTATCTTACTACACTTACCACGAATGAACAGCAGCTAGTCTCTGTGATCACTCTGTGGTAAAAATGCAAAATACCACAAAATATTTAATTGAGTCATGCAGTATTATTCCTGATTCATTGCTACGTGCTGATATTATTCAAATATGGTAAAATATAGTGGGTACAACAATGCTTTTTACATAAACAGTGTTAGAAACACTTCAAGCAGCCATGGTTGCTCAGGTGCACAGTCTAAATTTAATGTTTCTCTTGCCTGACTAAAACATGTTTGTCCTACAGTGACCACCACTTCTAGGATTATGTATGTTACTTGGAAGGGTTAAGGAAATTGAATTCATTTGACTACAATCTGCAATCTACTGGCATCTACTGATGAGATTTTACACACTGTCACTTAAAAGCCAAAATGAGCTTTGTGATTTGAAAGTTGAGCCAAATATGATTGCATTCTTTTTATCGGAAAGCAGGGGGCAACACCCTTAGCTGCATTGTAATTCCAGTTAGTACCATTGCTGCGTGACCTCAATAAATGTTTTCCCCTCAGTTTTCTGTCAAAGTGAATTAAAAAAAAGGGAGTCCTTAGTAGAGTCAGTAGAGTTGCTCACTGATACTGTCACGGCTGCCGAGGCGAGCCGTGTGGCGTTGAAGGAAAAAGGACCCAAAATGCAGGCAGTGACTGATGATACGAGTGACGTTTATTTACAAGTGGCGGAGTGGCAAAACAGGCAATGAGGGATGACAAATAACTGAAGAAACCTATACTGGGAAAACTAAATAGCAAACCTGAGATCATACAAAACAGGGTGAGGGGCAGCGCGCTGCATACTAAGGAACAGAACACCATGGAACGCAGACGAACCAACAACAAGCACAGACTGACACCCACTATATATACACACACAAGGTAATCAGGTAATCACACACAGGAGGGAAGAACAGCTGATCCTAATACACAAAGACGACTGGAGGATAAAAGCTGAACACAATGACAACACACACAGACCTTCAAAATAAAACAGGAAATCCAGAACAAGAACAGGGCACAAGGGGACGACACAAAATACCAAAATCAGAATAACTAGAACATAGAAAAATAATCATAAAATACAAAATGCTGGGTCAACGACCTAGCACCATGACAGACACAAGTCTTTAACCAGTGTTTATGACGCATGGTTTCAAATCACCAAGAAAACAGTGTCGAAAGTGTTCACTTTCAGGTGTCATAACAGAACTTCACTAACAGGGTGAAGTCATACTGACTGTGTCCATGTTTATTAAACAGTCTGTGAACTCTTATGGAAACATGAATGAGGCATCTGCACTAAAACCTCTTCAGTGACTGTCATCCCCCACTGTGGTGTTTACAGAATAGTCAAAATTTTAATTAATATTCCCATTTAGTAGCACAACATAAACCAGAATAACATGAACTTTGAACATGAATGTGGGAGTGACATACATTTCAGATTTGAAGGACAAGACTAAAAATCACAAAATTAAAACCATTTTAAAAAGCAGACAAAAACACATAAAACGAGGTTGAACTGTGTGTTTTCTGGCAGACATTCTACAATTTGCGGTAACTTTTTCTGCATGCCTTTTGTTCCACAACAATTTTCAGCACTAGCAATTGTGGTGAAGCCTGATATCCTGCTTGGCAAGATTTGCCTTCATTTTGAGGACACCTATGGGTGTACCCTTGCCCACAACCCATTTTGAGTAAACACTTGGCAATTAAAAGGTGGTTTGGGGGACAGATATACAATAAAAAAAAAGAAAAAGTTATGTCTATACAGCCAACAAAAAGAAGCATGTTTGTGCGTCACAACTGGAAACTTGTTGAAAGAGTCACATGTTTAAGTCTGGAAACTCTGAGTCAGAAACACCAGAAACACTTAGCAAGACGCTGTTTCAACATGAACCTTTGGATGTTCAACTTAACATTCAAATGCATCATAAAGATTCATAAAGCGAAAGACCGCATGTTGATTTTATTCATCGTTATGCTCTGAGTGAAACAAATAGTGGCATCATTTGCATCTTCAGCAATAAACTTTATAACAAAAAAGTTGTATTTACATAAATTATTTTACAGTACACATATTTACATCACAGAACCAGTACAGCCAAGATACTGATGACTACTACAGTTTGTAATATATGAATCCAACAATATCACACACTGGTGAGTTGTTGCAATATATAAAATATGTCTTCATTTTTTTCCAGTTCAAGCTAAACAACAGTGTTTTGCATTTGGTAGTAATCTGTAATACAACCACCTTTTCTAAACGTAACAGTGAGACGTTGTGCATCAGCTAACATACTAAAGAAAGAGTTCGTTAAAAGGTTTCTTAACAATGTATGATTAAGTCTGATTATTACAAAGCTACATCCACTGCGATTTCACGAACTTCATTTGATTTTAGATTTCATTTGAACCATTTAGTTTAAGACAATATCATTAAATGACTGCCCACTATCCTTCTGTGCTTTTGTGTGCAAAAAGCAATTTGCATACAGCATTTTATACAGAAGTTTTCAATGTGGAGGACAGGTTTGAACGTGTGGAGTCAGATAAGGTTTTCCTCTGGTGGCCCCACTGCTGGAAGAGTTCTCTGACTTTTTTCCGGAAGTTCTTTCCTACAATAACGTATAGGATCGGGTTAAGAATGCTGTTCAAGAAGGCTAAGTAGGTGAAGATCTGGATGCTGATGTCCACAGCATTTTCAAAGTGACAGCCTTCCAGTATCCCACCTCGTAAAAGCACATCTACTATGGTGATTACATGGAATGGCACCCAGCAAATTAGGAAGGCTACAAGGACTGCCAGGACCAAAATGGTGGCCTTTCGTTCTGTGTTTTCAGCATTGAACCTCTCAATTGCTTGCAATTTCAAAGCCTGAATAATATTAAAAGTGCAAAAGGAGATAATTGAAATGGGAATAACAAAGCTAAAAATGATCAATATCCCATCACAGATAACTTGTACGTTGTGGTTTGGATAGTTTAGATAGCACACAGTACCATATTCAGGGAAATATCTCACTTCCCTGAAGATGAACACGGGTATACTCAGAAGCAAGCCAAAACCCCATGTCAGCAGACACCCTAGTTTAGCATATTTTGGACTACGCATTCTTCCATGTGACATCGCATGTACCAGCGCCACATAGCGATCGATGCTAACCAGAACAAGAAAGTATATGCTGCAGTAGGCATTCATCTTAATTCCCACATTGATAACTTTGCACATGAAATGACCAAAAGGCCATTTAAAATCATTGAGCATGTTAACGGCCCAGAAGGGCAAACAGGACACCAGGACTAGGTCAGCAGCAGCCAGGTTGCTCAAATAGATTTCAGCTATGGTGCACGCCTTCTTGTGGAAGCAGAAGACAGTCAGAACGAACATGTTAAGCATAATTCCCAGCACGGTGATGAGCAGAATATACACTGGTTGGTGTGCAGTGAGCCACTCCCATAGTTCGTGATCTGGACAATGAGTCTCATTGGTGTTGTTATTGTTTCCATATGATATAGTGGTGCTGTAGTCTGGGATGCTGTAAAGACAAAATGAAACATGAAGTAAATAGGCAGTTAAACATCAACAGTACATTAGGTTCTTACCTTGAGTTTATGTAAAATACCAATGCGATAAATATGGAGCTTTAGCCAGCACTTAGCTGGCTATCGTCTCTGCAAACCCAACAGTTGCCCTGCTACATACAATATTTACCATACAGATATGAAACTAATGTCATTCTTCTTATCTTATTCTAAGAAAAGAAGTAAATAAGCATATTAATGAACAGATGTCCTAACTGTATATCCATTGTGTGCTGTTTGTCATTCTTTCTCTGTTGACCAGGTTCAGTTTTCCAACTAGTTGATTGCTGAAGAAATCTCCACCCACTGACTTAGCCTCTTGTTTCAACAAGAACAGAGCTGAACATGAAAGCCTGTAATAAATGTGATGAATACATTTCTGGTTGTGGAGCAAGCTACTTTGCAGCTATGACCTGTGTATTGAACCAAAGGATAAGCTTAAAACATAAAGATATTGTTGAACAATAAGGGTGTTTGCACATCTGCAGCACTCAAAAATTATATAAGCTTGTCTGAGACTGAACCACCTTGTTCCACTAATGAGCATCAGGCATAGCATAATGTCATTTATGCTTCTGCTTAATTCCCCTATCGTGTTACCTAATTGGCAATCTGTTCTTTCAAATCATACTGTATGTACCCTATGCTTACATTAATGTGTTTGAATGTTTAAGAGCAATTAAGACCACTGAAAGTTGCTCCAAAGTTTGTTTCTGTGTAAGGAGCAGTTGGCAGCAATGTGGCAGACGGCACAATGGAGGGCAGAAGCTTCTGTTGGTTAAAATAACCAAATGTTTGACATGGATTAAACTCGTCTTTAGAAGAACATGCTTAGGCAAAACCTGAGCTCTCATATCATGTAGTACAACTGATGTTTTAATGTACAACGAAAAAGAATAAATGAATAACAAAATAAAGAGAAAAAGATGCTTCTTCTGGTCATCGTCGATATGTAACTCTATACTTCTATACTCTACATTACACCCAAAAAGACATGTTTATTTTTTAAAGTCTCACTAGCTGTAACAACAAAGGCAAGAAGTTCATTTTAACAGCAGCTGTCAGCTATCAGTAGTTGTATTACCTGCATTACACACATTGGAGTATATTTAACCTGCTTGATTGAGCACATGGTTACTGACAAAATGATTCTAAAAAATAAAACAATTGGAAAATTGTTCTCCATTCTTAGGGGATTTTTTTAGGTTATATCTCACATGAAAGATTTAAAAATATATAGAGTATATTTGATTCATACATACCTTGTAGGTCTAAGAGTCATTTTCCTATGTTCAGATGTCCTGCTGCACTGTTAACAGTTAACTCCCCCACTCTAGTCTGCCTGTCTCTGCCTCATGCTCCTAAAGGAAACTGTAATTAAAGTGATGTCACCAAAAAAAAAGAAGGCATGGCAAAAAACCCTCACTTCTCTCATTTCACATTCAGTCTGAATGCTCCCTGTCTGTCGGTCTGGGTTGCACCTTATTCAAAGATGCACTAGTAACATGCAACAAGCCATACTAATATCCAAAGTAGACTGTAGACTCTAGGCTCATCTTGTTAATCATGTTTCTTTTGTTTATTACATTATTCACATTATTGTCAGAGTGGGTATTATACCAGAGCGTACACAGGGTTGAAGGCCTGTTTTTGGTGAAAAACAGGAGAAGGTGGTGGAGAAACAGAAAAAGAAAAGGGACCGAAAGAAAGAGAGAAAAAAGGGGCTGCAGGGGACAAACAAAAAGGGCGCAAAAGGCTTTAAATATGTTATCTCCTCATGCTGGTACTGCAGCTTCTGCATGTACTGTAACTTCTGCATGTGTTTCCATTTCACGCTTTCGAGAGGCAAACCGTGAAACGGACATGGCAGACGGGTGCGTCTGTTACGCAGTTTTCCGTGATATGGATTTGAATAAAACCAGGCACTTTTTGTCCCATGTACGCCTCTTAGTAAGTTCTTACAAAACTAAACAGTTGTGGCTTGACATAGTTCATGTTTACATGTTAAATATTTTCTGACCTGATGTATATACTCACTAGATAGCTAATTCTGGTTCTTAACGCAGCCAGTGACATTTCAGCAATTTAATGGTCCAGTCAGAATGAGGAAAAAGGGTCTTTCAAGTAACTTTAAATGTGGCATGGTTGTTGGTGCCAGATGCGCTGTTTTGATATATTTCAGAAACTGCTGATCTGCTGGGATTTTCCCACACAACCATGTCTAGGGTTTACAGAGAATGCTCTGAAAAAGAAAAAAATATCCAGTGAACTGCAGTTTTCCAGGCAAAAATGCTTTTTTGATGCCAGATGTGAAAGGATAAGAACGTATTGACTGCTTTGAGCTGTTAGAAAAGCAAAGTTAACTCAAGTCAACACTTCTTATACAAAATAGTGTATGCAGAAGAGCATCTCTGAAGGCACAACGCATCAAAACTTGAAGCAGATGGGCTAGACCACACCGACTGCGACTTCTCCGAACAGGCAAACTGAAGTTACATTTTGTAAACTATACCACAGAAGACTGGAAAAAAGTTACACGGTTCAACTCAATTCAATTCAATTTTATTTATATAGCTCCAAATCACAACAACAGTCGCCTCAAGGCGCTTTATATTGTAAGGTAGACCCTACAATAATACATACAGAGAAAAACCCAACAATCAAATGACCCCCTATGAGCAAACACTTTGGCGACAATAGGAAGGCAAAACTCCCTTTTAACAGGAAGAAAGCTCCGGCAGAACCAGGCTCAGGGAGGGGCGGCCATCTGCTGCGATCCATCACAGCCTACCGAAATTTCATTGTTGACCATGTCCACGCCTTTATGACTGCAATTTTCCCAGCTTAAGATTGCTGCTTCCAGTACGATAACTTGTCATGTCATAAAATTAAAATCATCTCAAATTAGTTTCTTGAACATGAAAATGAGTTCAGTGTGCTCAAATGAGCTCTATAGTCACCAGATGTCAATCCAACAGAGCAGGAGTGTCCAACTCCAGTCCTTGAGAGCTACTGTCCTGCATCTTTTAGATGCGTCCTTGTTCCGACACACCTAAATCAAATGAATGGCTTGTTACCAGCCCTTTGCCAAACTTCATGGCATGCTGAAGAGTATGCGTTGGAGTATGGATGCATCTAAAAGCTGCAGGGCAGTAGCTCTCGATGACTGGAGTTGGACACCCCTGCAATAAAGCATCTTTGTGATGTGGTGGAACAGGAGATTTGCATCATAGATGCACTACAGCCAACAAATCTGCAACAACTGTGTGATGCTATCATGTCAATATGGAGCAATATCTCTGAGGAATATAATATGGATACACGTCCCATTAGTATTGTTGGGAAGAGAGTTCCTTACACCACTGAAGTGCAGAGACAAAAGAATCCATTTACGGCACTTTGTAATATTTCCCGTAAGATAATTATTGCAGTGAATAAAGCTGCCAATTTCTTTAGAAGTGCAT